AGAGAGTAAGACTTCGTAGAAGGCTTCCAAGAAGTGAGAAGACTACTCAGACGACTTCCTTGAAGTCTTCTACAGAGTCTTACTCTCTGGACGACTTACATGTAAGTCGTACAGAGAGTAAGACTTCGTAGAAGGCTTCCAGGAAGTGAGAAGACTACTCAGACGACTTCCTGGAAGTCTTCTATAGAGTCTTACTCTCTGGACGACTTACATGTAAGTCGTCCAGAGAGTAAGACTTCGTAGAAGGCTTCCAGGAAGTGAGAAGACTACTATGACGACTTACAGTCGGAGAAGATTTAGTCGGAGAAGATGTGGTCCCTAGCGGTTACAGATCTGCATATCGAAGGGAAAAGAAGAGTCAAAACTACAATTTTTAGGGTTTTCCGGCGGCTAAACGCCTTAAAACATAAGATATAACTTACCGGCGGCGGAGGAAAGGGCTACGAGATTTCAGATCTGAAAAAAGGAAGCGGATGGTCAGTTTAAACTATGAAAATACTCTAAGGCATGAAAGAAAAACGAGATTCGTCGAAATCGGAGAGATTCGTCGAAATCGCCTTTACAATCGTCCTTGGAGAGAAACAGCGCTAGGGTTTCGGAAAATTGTGAAAAAGTAAAAAAAAAATAACTTTTATATGTCCGGTAAAAATCCGGTTAGGTTAAAACGTAAAATGTTAAAATTAACGGTTCGGTACAATTAGACGACTGAAATTTCAGTCGTCTGGGAAATAATTTAAAGCAGACGACTGATATTTCAGTCGTCTGGGAAATAATTTAAAGCAGACGACTGAAATTTCAGTCGTTTGGGAAATAATTTAAAGCTTAGTCGTCTGGGAAATAATTTAAAGCAGACGACTGAAATTTCAGTCGTCTAATCCCTAAACATAACCCCTAAACTTTATTCTCTAATTAAACACTTCGAAACATCAATTTAAACTTTAAAAATGTTTACTATACACAGAAATAAACACATAGAGGTCAAATTAATCTTTTCAAAAAAACATTTCAGCTTTTCAAAATCTAACCCTAAGATTACATACAATACTACAACATATGCTTGCCAAACCCTTAAACCAAAGAATATCATGATTCACTACTTCCACTCATCTATGCTGAAAACAAATCAACTTTATCATTTCTTAATTTATATCACTTATAAATGTTTATAATTACATGTTTTTAATTTTTCACTCATCAAAATATTTTGTACAGAATTTATAAATTATTTTTAAGATTCAATCGTCCAGACAACTAACNTTAAACCAAAGAATATCATGATTCACTACTTCCACTCATCTATGCTGAAAACAAATCAACTTTATCATTTCTTAATTTATATCACTTATAAATGTTTATAATTACATGTTTTTAATTTTTCACTCATCAAAATATTTTGTACAGAATTTATAAATTATTTTTAAGATTCAATCGTCCAGACAACTAACATTTCAGTCGTACAGACGACTGAAAAGTAACTCAGCCCGACCCAGACAACTTACTGGGGTTATATTCGTAAAAATGTCTTCTGTTTTTTTGTTTGGTCACAGAGCACTATACTGTAATTTCATAGCCCTTTTAGGTTAGATTTGCATTTGATTCAAGTTGGGGTCTAGTATTGGGGTTAAAACCAAGTTATGGGTTAGTTTTGGCAAAAACCCCTTGATTTCATGTGTTTTTATCTTTTAGGTTAGATCATCAACTATAAAGAACATAAACATATATATATATATATATTGGTATCAATCTTGTGGTCATGTCTTATTCATTTTCTTAGTCGTTTGACTGTTGTTCTTCAATATCGCTAACTTCAGATATATAATTCCTTAAAGATGACCATTGTTTCAAGTTTTAGAAAACTCTAAAAAATCCTTAGTCATGTCTTCGTTGAAAATATATTACTCTTTTGAAAATGGCCATTGTTTTAAGAACTTGCTCGTGTCATGTCTTGGTCATTTTTCTTTTATTTATCTTAAATTGCACAAGTCAATATTGATCTCTATGTAAGTGATGGTTACATGTTTATGAACCTTTGTCACAATATGCATTTGGAGAAGATGAAGATGGACCCACTATTCAAAAATTTATCAGATTTATTGCCTTATAGATATGAATATATTACATTACGCAATATTCGCCTATATTCAAAACTAGAATAATAATTCCAAGAATTTCGTGATAACTAACCATATTTAGTAAAGTATTCAATTAATATCAATGAAATCTTTCAAAATAGTTAGCAATTTCGTGGATCATATATATTCCATAAATCGTGCTCATATCACAACATATAGATCATCTATTTATTGCTTATAAAATATAGATATCTGTATTCTTTTACTTTTTTTAACAACAAAATGTAAACTAGGTAGTTGGTCCTACTGGTCGTAAATTCAAAGCGGAGATGTGAAAAAAAAATATATCAAATCTAAAATTAGGAAAATTTTATTTTTATTGGAATTTATGTATTAATATATGCAAGCCGCCCGAAATGTATGCTTTATAAACAAATATACATGGAAAATAGTAAATTTTATATAAAAAAAAAATCAAATGACTTATGTAACATACTATTTTAGCTGTTTGAACATCAGTAACACATCACCAACAAATACAATTTACAAAAGAAAAATAAAACATATAAATAATTATAATTATGAAACATAAAAAGTAAAAAATCACCCGCGCAACCCACGTAACCCGCGCGGTTGCGCGGGTCAAAGTCTAGTTTAACTTTAAATTTACATAAAATATATGGATAGAAATGAAAAAAATAAAATTTTAGTTTTTAATAAAATAGTTAATGAAAATTAATCCCACGCTTTTAAAGCGCATGTCAAAATCTAGTTTATGAATTATAGATCAATCCAATCCATTTAAAAAATAGATTGGGTCGACTTACGACCCATTAACAATTAATCCATTTGGATTATGGGTTGGGTTGACTCATTTAACCTATTTTGACACCCCTATGAATAATAAGATAAAGTAAGAATGTATAATAAAAAGAAAAAAAACGGTAAAAGAACCTAAAAAAGGAAAAAAAAAAGATTATGGTTTTCGGTTAAGAATATAGAACCAATCAGTAACCATTAGTCAAAATTAATGAAATTATGTTCATTGTTGCCGGTTTTTAACCGGTTAGGCGGTTTAATTCAAATCCTAATTTTGTTATCATCTAAACTCAATTATTTTTAACACTGGCTATTATGATATTACAAACTATAGAATCATTAGATAGAATGTATTACAACAAACAATTTCATATGATTTATGAATATTCACGCCTGATTACGTTTATTCAATTAATTACTTAACTATTTTTGGTTGAACCAGTCCGATTTTCAAAACTTTAGTTAGCACTCTGATTGTTGCAAAAAACAAGAGTTGCACATAAAAAGTTAGCACTGTGATGTTGATTTTGTAACAACTAAAACATTTTGTTAGATAGTATCTAGAAGAGAGAAAAACCTATTTTGACTAGAGACATAATAGTATACTAGAGCTTGAGCCGCGTAACCACGCGGGGTGTTTATTTCCAAGTTTATAATTTTTATTTGTATCATATGTTATATTTGTATTACAGAATAGTTGTAATATAAACAGTGCTTTGAAATTCGACCGGATCCGAGATCGAACCGGTAAATCTGGTGACCTAAATGTAATCCAATTTGGATTTATAGAAAAAAAAATTGTTATACAAAAAAACAATAAGAAAATTAAATATTCTAATTAGTTTTGAAAAAAACATAGCTATTCAATTACTTTTTTCCTACATTGTAGTTAGTTTGAATATTCAGTGGCATTGAATTGTAAATAGTGTGTAAGTTTTAAGGGTATTTTCTATTGAGATTTGTTTTTATTTTTTATATGCATGAATATTATTTACATGTTTATCGGTTAATATTTTAAATATTTATCCTCGCGTGAGTACCTGCTTTTATTTTTATATACATGGATATTGTTTACATGTTTATCGACTAATATTCTAAACATTTAATATATTTTAAAATTTATATAAACACAATAATCCAATATTTACGTGATATAAAAATATTGATCCGTGTGTCTTACTAATCCTTCGACAAATATTAATATATTGATATGATTAAGTAATATTTATTTTTACAAGGAATTTTTTTCTACATGTAATCATATTTTATCATTGAAAGTAATCAATAGTAACCGAGATGGTTAAATATATATTTTTGAAATTTGTGAAATATATTTAGTTTAGGTGACATTTAATTATATTAAAAGAAATATTTGGTTACAAACATTTTATATTGTTCTACAAGTAATTTAAAGATATTTAAATCTTAACATATATAGATTTTATTGTCAAAATAATCAATGGTAATAGTAATGGTTAAACATATATTTTCGGAATAATTTTTGTATCGTTTAATATCATCTTAAATTTAAATTTTGTTACAAATAATTAATGGTAACGGTATCGAGTTTAATATTGTTAAAATAGATTTTAAATTTGAATATTCCTAAACATTATTTAAATCCTTTTAGGAAATATGTTAGACACAAAAATTTAGCTAAATTTAATTAGGAAAATAATTGAATAATATAGAAAAAGACATGGATTCGTTAAAAATAGGTTCAGTTAATTACTTAAGTGGCATTAGATTGTAAATATAGTGTAAGTTTAAAATGTATTTTTTTATGAGTAATTTTGTTTTAATAAAGTAAATAACCGCAAATAAAATAAAAAATAGACAAAAGTTGAAAATAGTGGTAATTCTGTTTTAATAAAGTAGATGGCCGCAAATAGAGTAAAAAATAGACAAAAGTTGAAAATACTCATATCCGTGATTGATAGGAATGATTCACATACAAGATAAACTATATTAGAACTGGTCCTACTTACACATGAATCAAATCCCGAATCTAAACATGTGGGGTTGAAACTTGAAAGTTCAAGAAAAACAAACCATGATTAAACTAAACTAAACTACATATAGTATTCTTACACTATAATATAATAACAAATGACGATTTTCTCCTTCCCCACGTCCACTGAGACGTTTCCATGGCTTCTTCTCCTTCTACTCCCTCCACTCCTCATCCTCTTCAAAACCTATCTCCTCCCCTCCTCCAAGAACCTCCCGCCATGTCCACCAAAGCTCCCCATCCTAGGCAACATCCACCAGCTCGGAAACCTCCCTCACCGCAGCCTCAGAGACCTCTCCCTCAAATACGGCCCCGTCATCACCGTCTACCTGGGAAGCGTCCGCACGGTGGTCGTCCACTCCCCCGAAACCGCCGAGGAAGTCTTGAAACTCCACGACTCCGAAACCTGCACGCGCCCCGCGCTCTCCATCACCAAGAGCTTCTTCTACGACGGGCTCGGCCTAGGCTTCACCAAGTGGGGAGATTACTACAGAGACGTGCGCAAACTCTGCGTCCTCGAGCTTTTCTCCGTCAAACGAGCCAACTCGTTCCGGAACATAAGAGAGGAGGAGCTGAGCCGGCTTGTTGACTCGCTGTCCGACTCAGCGGCGTCTGGATCTCAGGTTGATCTGACGGGGAAGCTGGCGAAGTACGTGGCGAGTTTTACTTCTCGGATGGCGTTAGGGTTTAGTTTTGTCGGGAGTGGGATTGATAACGATAGGTTTCTTGAGATTTTTACGGAGGCGAATAGAGTGATAGGGAAGTTCGCGGCGGAGGATATTTTTCCGGTGTTTGGGTGGGTTGTGGATCGGATCTCGGGGCTTGAGGCTAGCCGGAGGAAGAGCTTTCGAGAGCTCGACACGTTTTATCAGAAAGCTATTGTGGATCATCGAGAGAGGAAGAAGACGGGGGAGGAGCGTGAAGATCTTATTGACGTGTTGTTGAAGCTACAGAGTCAAGAAACTAAACTTGGTTCTTCACGGATTACTGATAAACACATCAGAGCCATTCTTATGGTAAGTTTCAGTAGAAAGCAAAAAACGTTTGTATCCGAAACCCGGTTCCGACTAGAAAAAAAAACTAAAATCTAACCGGAATTATGTAGAGAAATATCCAAATAGGATATATCCCTACCCAAACCAAAATCCAAATTATTATCGAAAAACCTATAGTTTACCTAATTGTGATTAGTATACAATTAACTAATTTTTAACTTTATATTACCTAATTGTGATTAGTTTGCAGAGTATTTTCGGAAAATTTATAGTTTTGAATTTTGATATTGGAATTTTGTTAATCCCGATATTTCAAATACTTAATTTTTGATTTAGATAGTTTTTACTAGATTTTCGAGTAATTCATATACTTTGAATATTTTCGTTATAGTTAGATAGCTATATTCTAGACTTTATGTGATTTCAGATATTAGTTAAAACCCTATCAAAACCGAGCTAGGAATAAGACCAAAAACCCTGTTTTTTTATGTTAAATAACTTAGAGCATTGAAGCATTTTTTTGTCATTTCAGGATTTGTTTGTAGCAGGCATAGACACATCTTCAGTAACAATGGACTGGACAATGGCAGAGATTGCAAGACACCCAAGAGTGATGAAGAAAGTACAAACCGAGATACGTGAACGAGTAGGAGACAAAGGGAAAGTAACGTACGAGGATCTCGAAGGTCTAGAATACATGAAGATGGTAATCAAGGAGACTTGGAGGTTACACGCACCGAGTCCAATTCTAATTCCAAGAGAGGCAATGTCAAGATTCAAAATCAGCGGCTATGACATATATCCTGGAACACGGATTCATGTTAACACATGGGCCATTGGTCGTAGCCCTGATGTGTGGAAGGATCCTGATGAGTTTATCCCTGAGAGATTTTTGGATAGCAATGTGGAAACTAAAGGGACGAGTTATGAGTTGTTGCCGTTTGGGAGTGGGCGGAGAGGTTGTCCGGCCATGTATATGGGATTGAGTACGGTGGAGTTCACTTTGGCGAATCTTTTGTATCATTTTGATTGGAAAGTGACGGAGGAAGTGAGTGTTGATGAAACGCCTGGTCTCACTAGCCACAGGAAGCATCCTCTTTGTCTTGTGCCTGTTAATGTCATAAACCGCTTGTCTTAGGGTTTGGAAAACGCAACCGAAATTTGCGTTTTGCAGAGAATAAGGGTCAATCAAGTTTGTTTGTTTGAATCTTGACTCATCAGAAAGTTCAAATAAAGTGGCCAAGATGTTAAGTTGACTGCTACCTACTACACATTTAAAAAAAAAAAAAAAACTTTGCATAGAAAGGATGTTGATTACAACAAATTAATTATTTCCTAATTCTCAGTTTGTCTTATTGAAAACAAAGCGAAAATTTCTAAACGGAACTACCTATTTATATATATATTTTTTTTAAATGGTTGAACCAACATGTAAGTCCAAAACTTAACTATCCAAAAGATCATACATCTGATGTAAACTGACAAACCAATGCCATCCGTCAAATGTTCATGAATATGTTTTATTTTTTATGTTTATCTTTTATGTTTATTTTGTGCAACTCTTTTATGTTTTGTCTATGATTTACTGTGTTGTGTATTCGAGCTTGAAAATCTAAATGCTCAAACCTAGTTTGAACTTGGAAGGTTTGAAGGGATGACTACTATTTTATGATCTTGTTTTATCTGCAGCACAATAATCAGGACTTTCTTCAGGAACAAAATGTTGAACATTCAAAAGTAAGAAATTTCAGACAGCATCTTTGCACGACAAAGCAAAGGGACCCTTTTTATTCAACATCTGATAATTTTACTGTTCAGAACCAAGTAAAAACACACAATAACCTTTTGACACATTATCAAACCAACATTCACTTCAACACCTGAAAAACTTTAGGGTCTCTCTCTCTTTATCTCATCCTCCAGGGATATTTCATCTATGCTGACGAATTCGTCTGCACCCATTCGACAAGCGTCGCAACACCAAACCCAGTACCAGACTTTTTCTTGTCGTTCCACACCGGTCCAGCCATGTCTATATGCATCCATTGCACCTTCTCGCTCACAAACTGAGAGACACCAAGATATTAGCAGATTCTTTTGTCATACTTTCACCATTATTTTAATATCAAAAACATGTTATATTCTTAAAAGAAATAGTATTTTGTTTTTCACCTGTTTCAAGAAGAGAGCTGCGGTGATGGAGCCTCCTGCACGCCCGCCTGTGTTGACCATATCAGCACATCCGGACTTCATCATCTCCCAATAGCTCTCCTCTAATGGCATCCTCCACAGCTTTTCTCCACTCTTCTCTGATGCAGCAATCACTTCCGTGGCAAGTTCATCGTTAGGTGTGTAGATACCTGCCAAGTTAAAAGCACCGAACAACCATCATGAGCTAATCTTCATAGATAACACAATCCCAACTCAAAGCGGGAACAAAGATGAATGGTTTCCTTAGGACTATACCTGCCACTGATGTTCCAAGAGCAATAACGCATGCCCCGGTCAATGTAGCCAGGTCAACAATCTGCAAGTTAAAATTCACTTTTAAAAAAAAACACAGAAACAAGTTTCTTATATCAACAAAGCAAGGAAAACCCATCGCAATACCTTGTCAACGCCCTGGTTACAAGCATACACTAGAGCATCAGCAAGTGTTAGACGACCTTCAGCGTCTGTGTTGTTGACCTGAAAACACCAACACTTAGCATCGCCATAGGTAAACAACAAAAACCGCAAACGTGAATAAAAACCATCTGATACCTCAATGGTCTTTCCGTTTGAGGCTGTGATGACATCACCAGGTCTCATTCCCGTTCCACTAATCATATTCTCACAGGCTGCAACGATGAAATGAACCTGGTTGTGGAAGACCAATTGGTTAGCTGCGATAACATACTCTAGCTTCACAAGATTCTGAATAGAGGAGAAGCTTACCTCAACACCAAGAGGCTTAATCTCACCAATGGCTTTCGCAGCGCCAAGAACAGCAGCTGAACCACCCATGTCGAATTTCATGAGCTCAATGGAGGAGCCAGGTCCAGCCTTAATGTTGTAGCCACCACTGTGAACACAAGACAACAATCAACAACCACTAAAACATCACCAATACAAAAAACAGATGTGGAACACTCAAAGTAATTACCTGTCAAATGTCAATCCTTTCCCAACAAGAGCAAGTTTGGTCTTAACAGAGCCACTGGGAGGTTTATACACAAGGTGAATGAAGAAAGGAGGATTAGCCGAAGCAGCCGCAACAGCTAGATAAGAGCCCATCTTCAACTCTCTGCATTGCTCCTCGTTCAAAATGTTTGCAGTGAATACATCACTGTAAGTAGAAGCCACTTTTGCCGCTTCCTCAGCTAGGACAGCTGAAACAACACAAAACCATATCAGATTAGGACAACACACAACATAAACAGTGCCATTGGTATCCACAGATCCATACCAGGAGTAAGCACATTGGCAGGAGAGTTAATGAGTTCTCTCCCGAAAATCACACCGTAAGATACATCTTCAGCATACTTGAGCTTCTTCTCTAGCTCAGGTCCAGTTCCAAACCCAATGATATCAACAGAGCTCAAAGATGGTTTCTTAGACTCAGATTTATACCTACCATCTTCGAACAATCCAAGCACTATGCCTAATCCACACCACAAGCAAACAATAAACCCCACAAATCAGTTTACAAAGACTTAAACTTGCGTAAACCCATTTTCTAGGGGGTAACCAGTCTTTTTGTATAGAACTAGCGGCTAGGAATATTATTTAGAGGCTAGCTTCTGTTAACAAATTATTAATTTATTTTATATATTTTTTTATTTCTGTTTTTGGTTTTATTATACAATTATTTTGATTAACTATATAAAAAACTACAAATTATAAATTATTAACTTTGTCAGACCTACTTGAGAAGAAACTACTGATTTATTTTATACATAATTTTACAATTATTTTTTTGATAAAGATGCAAACAACAACCGAGACAATGAAGTTACCTGAAGCTAAAGCAGAAGCAGAGCTAAGCTTGGATTCATTTTCATCATGAGAGGCAAGAACAACAGCAACGCTGCTAGACTGAGAAGCTTTCGCAACCGTAGCAATACCTTCACCAAGACCCTGAAAAGCCGCGGGAGATGAAGCGGACTTTCCTAGACCGATCAAACCGATTCGTTTCGACCCTAAACCGGGAAGTCTAAGAACCGTTGACTGACCCGGTTTACCGGTGAAGTCCTCTTCCGACAAGACTAAAGCCAAGAGTCCACTCAAGTGAGCATCGAGCTTGTTCAAGATCGGGTTCTCGAACTTTGAGTTTTGGTCTTTCGTCAAGTCTTTCTCTGTTGCCCCGACAACAAGTAAGTCTCCTTTCCACTCGGTTACGTCGATCTCCTTTGCCGTGAATGAGATCTGCTCGAGTCAACGAAGATATGGTTCATTAATAGGAAACCATGTAAGAGAGAATAGAAACGAACCTTGGGATGGTCAGTGGGTTTGGGTTGAGTGAGGCCGAGAGACTGAGCCATGGGCTTTGGCTCTTGATGAACAAGAGAGAGAGAGAGAGAGAGAGAGGTGCGAAGAGGAAGGAAATGGGAAGGAGAAGCAATGAAAGTGAGAGGACTTTTAAAGTCGCGAAGAGCGATCGTATATATAGAAAGAGAAGATGTGTTTATCTTTGACGATGATTTACTATCCCACCCACTTATTAGGTTTTATATTCGACCCGCCTGATAGCAGTAGAAACATGGTATTCGATAAATTAATAAAACAGCATAAAGTAATATCTTTTTCTGATTTTAAACTAGACTGATTTAAAATATAACATTTTTTTTAAAAAAAAATATAATGACTTTATAGAAAATGATATCTAAATATATAATCTCATTAAAGTTCTAAATTAATGTTTCTTATGTATGTATATTTTATATAAGTATAAACAAACTATTATATTATTTGTTCACATTCACAATGAAACTAGGAAAAAATCGGTGAAATACCTTCATATAAGATTTTATTTGAAAACTATACCATTATATAATATTTTGGATAACTACACTTAGACATACGTTAAATTATCAACCATCCAATTGAAATCTGTGAAATTATTTTAGCATCTAAACTATTTTTTTAAATAAAAACACAAATAAATTTAGAATCATATGCGTTGAAAAAAAACATTTTTTAAACTCGTTCCTTGCCAAGCAAAATGTCCTTCAGTTTTTTCAAACAAATGCCCTTATTCTTGTTCTTAAAGATTTTTTTTTTAAAAAACACAAAAACCAATTTGTTAATAACACAAAGGTGTTTACAAAGGTTTTTAGCAATAACTAAATAATAAGAGATGTTAAACGGGTTGATCCGTCCCGTCCCGTGACTTATCTTTCTGCGGATTACGGAGGGCCAGACCCGCGCAGACTGCGGTCTCCAAAAAGTCATCCTAAACCCGTACCGCCAAATGCACATTCTTTTGCGGGCTGTCCCACATGACATACGTCAATGTAGTGTATCCGACCATGTTTAACTCCAGGCCACTCCAGAATACTTCCTAATGCTGCAAGCTGCTTCCTTATACACAAGTTCACATAATTAATAGACATGAAGCATCTACTATTCAGATTCTTTAAAATCACTATAATGTAAAACTATAATGTAATCAAGGAAAGCTAAACAAGACAGTGATCTGATAACCTATGCAAAGCAACCAAATTAAAACCCTAATCTACGTTCCAGAGAGTAAGTTACTAACCTTAGTAATGGAGCTAAGTATTGGAGCTTGTGTTGTTTGAATTAGTTCGGTTTGTATTCTTGTTCACCATCAATCCATCATCTCAAGACAAAACACAAAAAAACAAAGCCAAATTAACATACTATTAAACATAATTAAATTTATTAAGATTAAATAATTATATAATCTATAATTAGGAATTAATTATAATTTATTAATAGTATATAATCTATAATTAAGAATCAATTCTAATTTATTAAAATTATATAATCTATAATTAGGAATTAATTAGAAAATTATTAAATTATATAATATTTTTCTTAACAGCTTGAGGAGGAGGTCACCGACTCACCTTCATCGGACATCGCCGGAAGAGAAGCGAAGCAGGAGAACTCCTCGCCGGTGGAACAAGTTGAAGTTACCTGAAATTTGGAGAACAATTAGTTAGAAAAGATTCATAACAAGATTAAAAGAATCGACTTTTACCACAAAGTCTTTCACTACCTCGGTGACATGCATGGAGAGAAGAAGGGAGACTCAAGATCCGTCGCTCAAAATCATTCCCGGCCAATGATGGAGGATCATTTTCTACGGTGGAAAGTCTTTTAAGATCAACAATCTTGTCACAGCTTTCAAGAGAAGAAGATGACCCTCCAAAACAGGCTGGAGTCCTAAGCGCGTAACAATCTGTCGTCACCGAAGCTCCTAAAATCATCAGAGATCCATTCATCGACTGAGGCTGATCTGTTGCTCTCTCTCACTCTTCTTTGTTTTGTTTGCAGGTGGCGGAGGAAATGAAGAATGGTATGCGGGACATTATTTTAACCGCGGGTCAAATGCCCATCCCGCTAGGCCCGCTTTTTTGCAGGCTCCCAAACCCTTGGCCCAAACCCGCTCCGCCACAAGTCTTACCAGGCATGTCCCGCGGTACGGGTCCAAATTTAACATCTCTATAAATAATCACTTTTTTTTATTGAAAGAGTTTTTTTGTTCCGATATACAACTAGACACACAAGAAACAAACCCATATAATATAGAGAGAATTAGGGAAATGCCCATAATGAAGGCTATAATTAGTGGTTTGCCCATGATGGGACATAAACAAAAGATTTCATACAATTATGCTTTGGTTGGACGTTAAAGTCCATCTTGCATTCTCAACTCCTCTGCGATTCTTTAATTATTCTGACATTCTTTTTCTTCTCCTCTCTTACACTCTCTTTCCATTTTTTACTATATTCTTTTTTCTTCCATATTTTTTCATCCAAAATTTTTTTATTCATTAAAAACTAATTGACCCACGAAACAAAATAATCTTTATTCGTTAAAAACTAATTAACACACGAAACAAAGTATTGATTTGTTTAATTACACCACAGATGGAGAAAATCATCACTGCAATATCTTTAAAATCACCGATTGTTAACAAATGTGTTATCTGTAACAAATAATGTAAATGTTAATAGATGTGTTAGCTGTTAACAAATACATGTACCAGAGGTGTTAGTGGTTAATAATTTTGTTAACAGTTAATATCTCTGTTAACACATCTGATACATGTATTTGTTGACAGCTAACACATCTGTTAACGTCTACAAAATTTGTTAACAGTTAATATCTCTGTTAACAAATAGATAATGTAGACATTTTAATTTTCCTATCACAGTGAGTAAATATAAAAAATCAAAGTTATTCTTTAAATCCACATAGAAAAAAAATATATATATATATATATATATATATATATATATTTATATATATATATATATATTTGAATGAGTGAAAAAATATTTAGAAGAGAGAATGACAAAGAAAAAAAATGATAAGAGAGTTTGAGAATGGAGAAAAAGTGAAATCGAATGAAAGAGAGAGAGTGTCAGGAGAGAGAGAGTGGTGAGAGTAAAATCAGAGAGAGGCAGAGGGGCATTTTGGTCACTATAATTAACTCAGTCAAATCATGTGTATTTCCCTAATTAAGGGTCCAAAAAGGATATGTGAACAAATTATCTCTATAATATATAAGAAGTAAATGGTGCATTGGTGTATCTTTTCTATTTTTATTACAATTTATTCTTTAACAGTATTTTCTTTGACTAACACACAACAATTCTAGGGAAAAATGATATTATATGAACATTGTGAAATGTAAATCTAGAGCACGGAAGACTTTTTTTTTTTTAACCTTGGGGATATCCCAGGCATAGACTAACCCTCAAAAGTCAAAAGTGTGGTGCAGCCCACGGATGAACCTTCACTCTGGGTATTCAAAAGGACCGTAAGATAGACCCATATCTGCGTGGCCACAAGATAAGATGTAGTAGGGTGCCTTCAAACCCGGGTTACTTAACAAATCCCAAAGCTCGCCTACCACTAGACCACCACCTTGTGGTTTACGGAAGACTCTTACACTTGCAGATAATTTCTAACGTATATGTATTTTTGGTTAATAAACGTTTTGAGATAAAAATATGTTCATGTTGTTGATTCTTAGTATCTTTAAGAAAATGATGAATGGATTTAATCACACATTTTTACTAATAGTGAATAATTAGTTATTAAAAATTAATTACTAAATAAAACCAGGACAAAAACATCTTATTACATATAATGAAATGTAAATTTCAAAAAAGAAGTGTATTTTTAAAATTTTAAATATAAAAATATGGTATTTTCAAATTATCCCATAAAATTATCTTTATATTTCTTAAGACTTAATATATTTTTGTTAAGAGTTAGTAAAATTATTCTTAAACTTCATTTAAATTTCTATGAGACATATTTTATGCATATCAAATAATATAATATAATTAATACAAACGTCAAATTTCAAAAATTTGATTAATATATATACACTAAAATCATTTTTTCTATTTTACAAAAAGTATATCTTAAATAAAAAAAATCTAAAAAGTATATTCTTTTTTGAAAATCAATATCTGTAAATTAATAAAATATTAAAATCTTAAGGTTATTAATTTTTTACTGTATTTGGATTTATATACATGTTAGGAATATCCGACCCACTTATTACAGTTTTAATTTATATTTATTTTAAACTGTAGATTACAAAATCTTAAAATAATAAAATAAATATATTTTGGGGTAAATTTTCAAAAACAAAAAATATTTGAGAAAATTTAAATTCTACTACAAGTTCGTAACTATTTAGCAAATTTACCACTTATAAATGATTATGTTCACAAATATCCTGAATTTGTGATAACATAACACTAAATTAATTTTTTAAATATTTATAGAACGTTTCTACACCTAATCCCAACCTCTTAATACTAAACCTTAAACAATAATCATCAAAAGTTAAACCCAAATGGTAAAATGATTTATGATTGATGGTATTTGTAGATCCTAAAATCCACACTAAGTATTTTGTAGTGATCAAGAGTTTAATCAGGGGAATACAAATGATGTGGACAACGATGCTCTTAAACACAACAATACAAACGGAATCCGGTTGACAAAAATGGACTTTTATTGAATATGGGATTCCATACAAAGTAGTAAACAAGATCGAGAACAACAATGTAGAAGTTATAAGCGAACTAGAAGTCTATAGAGTGAAGTCGATGTGACTATGATATGTTATAGGGTTTTTTCGTCTGTCGTATGCTCTGCTTTAGATCTCCTTTTATAGCTTTCTCCCCTTCTAACTGCTAACGCGATCTTTTGAATGCCATTTCGACCTCGTTGGGTCTGATCGATGTCGAGTTCATGATGACCTTGCATGGGCTTGGGCCTACTTTAATTATTTGCTGAAATTAGGTCCAACAGTATTTTTGCAAAAATGGTACTTAACATGTGGTATTTATAACAATTTCTCGAAATATTTTATGACCAAAAGACACACAAGCAAGAAAACG